GATATCTGTGGTTTAATCCTATTATCATATCCTGCTTCCCAGGTGATGGGGCTAATGACTCCTAGAGTTTGGGTGGGGCATGCAGATTTTCTCTTTGTCTTCTTGATTGCTCTGGCTTCAACTTTCTGATGGTTTTACATCTGCATTTGTATGGGGCTAGGTCTTGCTTGGGGCAGAGAGATTTGGAGCCAAAGTTGGTGTCTGCTTTTTAAAATACTTTTGAGGAAATATATATTTCTGCCCTTTTAATATTTCCTTCTCTGGGGCTCTGACTTCCCACATATCCTTCCTAGCCATGCCTGTAGATCAGGGTCCCCAACCCCCGGTCCATGGACCAGTACCGGGCTGCAGCATGCCAGCCACCAGTCCGCACAAACAAACAAAGCCCCATCCGTGGGATGCAGGCAGCACACAAAACCATGCACCCTCCGGTCCGTGGGAAAACCTCTCTCCACGGAACCGGTCCTTGGTGCCCAAAAGTTTGAGGACCTCTGCTAATAGATAGTTGAAGTCCATTCATCTTAAAGCATGCTGGCTGGGAAATTCTGGGAGTTGAAGTCCACTTAATTTAAAGCATGCAGACTGGGGAATTCTGGGAGTGGAAGTCCACCCATCTTAAATCATGCTGACTGGGGGATTCTGGGAATTGAAGTCCACCCATCTTAAAGCATGCTGGATGGGAATTCTGGGAGTTGAAGTCCACCCATCTTAAAGTATGCCAGCTGAGGAATTCTGGGAGTTGAAGTCCACCCATCTTAAAGCATGCTGGCTGGGGAATTCTGGGAGTAGAAATCCACCCATTTTAAAGCATGCTGGCTGGGGAATTCTGGGAGTAGAAGTCTCCCCATCTTAAAGGATGCTGGCTGGGGGATTCTGGGAGCTGAAGTCTACTTATCTTAATGCATGCAGGCTGGGGAATTCTGGGAGCTGAAGTCCACCCATCTTAAAGCATGCTGACTGGGGGATTCTGGGAATTGAAGTCCACCCATCTTAAAGCATGCTGGCTGGGGAATTCTGGGAGTGGAAGTCCACCCATCTTAAAGCATGCTGGCTGGGGAATTCTGGGAATGGAAGTTTGTAAAGTCGCAATCGTTGCCCAGCCCTGTTCTCTAACAATTAAACTGAAGGTTATCAGTGGGGTGAACAAGGTTTCCTGGGAGGTGTCGATCAATAATAGTAAACATTGTGAAAGCAATGCAGTGATTAAAAATCAAACTATGCTGCTTTTGCTTTTTGATTAATAAGTTAGTAGATTGTGGGAATGCTCTAGTGATGTAATTGATCTTGATTTTTGGAAAGCAAAGTCTCCCGTAATGTTTGGATTAGTAAGGTTTATGAGATGAGTCGAAGGCTGGGTTGAAAACTGAGTTCCCATCAGCGCTTCTTTGAATAAGCTGCAGCGAAGGGTCAACTGGAATGATCAAGGTTCTAGTCCTGGTCGAGGTAGGATTATCAGGTTTGCAGGTGGCATAAAACTAAATGCAAAGAGACTAGAAGATAAAAACAGAATCCCAAACGATCACGTTAAGTAAAGGGAACGACATCAAAAATGAAGTTTAATAAGCCACAATGCAGAGTTCTTGACTTTGGGTGACCGGTTGCTAGTCCCTGTTGTTTTCTTGGCAACATTTTTAAAAGTGATTTGTTCTTGTCTTCTTCCTGGGGCTGGGAAGGAGTGACTGGCCCAAACTCACCCAGCTGGCTTTATGCCCAGAACTAACAGTCTCCAACTTTCTAGCCTGGGGCCTTAATCTGCACCAAATTAGCTCTTTTACATGCATTAAGAAAGAGTTTTCAAATACATTCTATACCTTTCCCCTTCTTCCCATTAGTATGGGGCCAATTATCTACCCGAAGCCCTTCCTTGGCATAAAGCAATCAGCTTTCTGGAAGCTGAACCTTTACCAGCCTTTCCTGGTTTTTCATCATCTTTAATTGTGCACTGAATTCGTTTTCAAGAAGGCATAACACAAAAGGAAAAAGGGCTGAGCTGGGAAGAGGAAAACGATATTCAAATCCCAGTTAATATTTCCTTCCAGTCCTGACTCCTGGTGAATATACGGATAATACTAATACTAACACTAATAATACTAATAAAGTTGGAAGGGACCTTGGAGGTCATCTAGTCCAACCCCCTGCTCAGGCAGGAAACCTTATACCATTTCGGACAAATGGCTGTCCAGTCTCTTCTTCAAAAACTCCCAGTGTTGGAGCATTCACAGCTTCTGGAGGCAGATTGTTAATAATAATAATGAAGTTGGAAGGGACCTTGGAGGTCATCTAGTCCAACCCCCTGCTCAGGCAGGAAACCCTATATCATTTCGGACAAATGGCTGTCCAGTCTCTTCTTCAAAACTTCCAGTGTTGGAACATCCACCACTTCTGGAGGCAGGTTGTTCCACTGGTTAATTGTTCTAACTGCCAGGAAGTTTCTCCTTAGTTCCAGATTGCTTCTCTCCTTGATTACCTTCCATCTGTTGCTTCTTGTCCTGCCTTCAGGCGCTTTGGAGAATAGCTTGACTCCCTCTCCTTTGGGTCAGCCCCTGAGATACTGGAAGGCTGCTATCATCTCCCCCCGTCCTTCTCTTCATTAAACTAGTCTCTGAAATTTTATTTGCACCCTTTTTTGCCATTGCCTTCATCCTAGGGCTGAGACAAAGCGGCTGGCCCAAAATCGCCAGTTGTTTTTGTACCTAAGGCAGGTCTGGAACTCCCAGTCTCCCAGTTTCTAGCCTGTTGCTTTGATTCCTTGCCAGCAACAACTTAATGGAGCCTCCAAAGACAGTCAACTTTTCAGAGCTAAATCTCCATCCTTCTCCTGCAGCCTCATCCTGATCCTGATTTTGCAGAAACTTGCGATTCGATCTTTTTGCTACCATTAATTTATAATTTAAGAGGAAGCAAAAGGATTTTCCTTGTAAGATACCCTGTGTTCTTTTTGTTTTTTCCAGCTGCGCTGGGGACGTTAGATTTCAGCTTGCTGTACGATCAGGAAAACAACGCTCTTCATTGCACAATCAACAAAGCCAAGGTAGGTGTCTACCAATTTCTGAAAATCCCTCGTTTTTTTCTGTGGATCAAACAGGATGCCGTTATTAACGTCGGCATCCTGACCTCATACTTTAGGTGCAGCATACTCTGGCGTGTAATTTTATGGTTTGGATGTTCGGGCTCTCTATTTACCAGTTAGTTTCAAAAACTGTTTTGCAACGCATGAAGCTTGAAGCTAAGTCATGCCAAAAGAATTTGAGGAGCAGATAACAGAATAAAGTAAGGTAAAGTAAGGTTCTACATTTAGGCAAGAAAAACCAAATGTACAGGTACAGTATAGGTGGTACCTGGCTCAATAGTAGCAACTGTGAGAGGGACCTCGGAGTCCTAGTGAACAATCACTTAACTATGAGCCAGCCGTGTCCTGCAGCTGCCAAAAAAGCCAACACAGTGCTGGGCTGCATTAACAGAGGGAGAGAATCAAGATCACGTGAACTGTTAATACCACTTTACAAGGCCTTAGTAAGGCCACACTTGGAATAATGCATCCAGTTCTGGTCACCACAATGTAAAAAAGATGTTGAGACTCTAGAAAGAGTACAGAGAAGAGCAACAAAGATGATCAGGGGACTGGAGGCTAAAACATATAAGGAACGCAACGACCTTAACCCTTACAGATCAAATTGCTTCTCTTCCTACTCTCCCCTGTACTATCGTCCCAAGGTCATAGAGTCCCCGACGGGGTTTCTTCTTCTTCAGTTCGATAAGAGGTTTCGCGGACTTCCGTCCTCTTCTTCGTTGCCTACCTTTGACTAGTTCCTCTTTTCGTTGGATCTTGATTCCTCTTTGAAGGACACAGTTAGAACAATTAACCAGTGAAACAACCTGCCTCCAGAAGCGGTGAATGCTCCAACACTGGCAGTCATAAGTATGTATGAGGACTTCACTTTTTTCAGCACTGCGGTAACCTTGAATTGTCACTAAACGAAGGATTGTAAGTTGAGGACAGCCTATACGGGTAATCCCCGACTTACAACCATTCGTTCAAAGTTATAGCGGCAGTGAAAAAAGGTGAGTTATGGCCATTTTTCATACTTAGGACTGTTGCAACATCCCTTTGGTCACATGATCAATCTTGAAATTCTTGACAACTGGAATGTACCTATGACGGTTGCAATGTCCTGGGGTTAACGTCATCCCCTTTTGCGATCTTCTGACAAACAAAGTCACCACAATGTAAAAAAGATGTTGAGACTCGGAAAAGAGTGAAGAGAAGAGCAACAAAGATGATTAAGGGACTGGAGGCTAAAACATACAAAGAACGGTTGCTGGAATTGGGGATGTCTAGTTTAATGAAGAGGAGGACGAGGGGGGACAGGATAGCAGTCTTTCAGTATCTCAGGGGCTGCCCCAAAGAAGAGGGAGTCAAGCCATTCTCCAAAGCCCCCCCTGAAGGCAGGACAAGAAGCAACGGATGGAAACTCATCAAGGAGAGAAGCAACCTGGAACTAAGGAGAAACTTCCTGACAGTGAGGACAATTAACCAGTGGAACAACCTGCCTCCAGAAGCGGTGAATGCTCCAACACTGGAAGTTTTTAAGAAGAAACTGGACAGCCATTTGTCCGAAATGGTATAGGGTTTCCTGCCTGAGCAGGGGGTTGGACTAGATGACCTCCAAGGTCCCTCCCAACTTTATTGTTATTATTATCTTTTATTCATTAAACATGAACCTCAGTCAACTGAACATTCAAATTGACTGGGGCTGATGGTTGACACGGGTTGCTACCAGCATCCTAGGTGTCAACCAGGTACCTCCTTAAAATATAAGATGTTCCGAGTTATTATTGTTGTTGTTTTGTTGTTGTTGTTGTTGTTGTTGTTGTTATTATTATTATTATTATTATTATTATTATTATTTCAGTGGGGAAGCCACTGACACTTAACACCAATGTCACTAACTTAACGACTGCAGCGATTCACTTATGAACAGAGCGATGGTAAAATGGGGCCAAACTCACTTAACAACTTTCGGGTCTCCATTGCGGTCGTAAGGCGAGGACTCCCCCTACAAGAAATGGAGCTTCCACATTTAAAGGCATTCTATACAAATCACTGCCTCTGAGCCACTGTCACGAACCGGGCCACGTGACTTCCCTTCTCAGCTAGGAACGATTTTATTTTATTTTATTTTATTTTATTTTTGGCCAACGTGCTGCCAACATCCCGGCGCGGTAAAAACCGAGTTGCAGCGCTTGATCAAGGAACACACACCGTTTGTGTGGTCTATTGCAGAGGTCCCCGACCTTTTAGGCACCAGGGACCGATTCCGTGGAGAGAGGTTTTTCCGTGGATCGGAAGGGTGCCTGGTTTGAATCCCGCAAATGGGGCTTTGCTTGTTTGTGCCACGTGGCAAAGTGGCAATCAATAACCGTCCACCGATTCCCCCACCGAAGCTCTCCCATCCTGGTTTCTCAGCCCCCTTTCCCATAAATGGCCCCCTCCCCTCCCCTGGGAAAAAAAGAGGAACGTGGGAAACGGAACATGTGGTGCCGTTCAGCAGAAGAGAGCAGGTGGGCGAGAGAGGCTCACCGGCTCCTCGCCAAACTCCAGTCCCGGCGATGGACATGCACATCCCCAAAAATGGTGGAAAAATTTGGCGGCAAAATGGGAAGGGATGAGTAATTCCTGCCTTCTTCTTCCCCCCCCCCGCCCCGCCTTCCATCTAATATTGGTTCCTGGACCACCCCCTCCATTCCTTTTCTCTTGATCAACATCGCTGCCTGGAAAATTGCCGGCTTGAGCTGTTTTCCACGCCCACCAATTTGGCAGGAAAAAAAGAGTTCCCGTTGGACATATTGCTGGATGGGGGGGGAAATGGGGGGGGAGAGTCGGTGGATGGGCGGTGGGCTTTCATACCGCAGGTCGTCTTCTACTGAATGACCGCAACGGGGTCCCAAATTTTCTGTTGCTAAGCGAGGCAGTCGAGTCAGTTTCGTTCCTTTTGCGACTTTTCTTGCCGTAGCCGTTAAGCGAATTGCGACAGTGGTTCGATTAGTGACACGGTTGCTAAATGGGTCGCCGCAGTTGTTAAGCAGTCGTTCAGTGAATCGGGCTTCCCCCCCCCCCATTGACTTTTCTTGTCAGAAGGCCGCCAAAGGGGATCGTGTGACGCCACTGGGATGCTGCAACTGTCATAAGTACATGCCAGTTTCCAAGCCTAATAATAATAATAATAATAATAATAATAATAATAATAATAATAATAATAATAATAATAATAATAATAATAATAATAATAATAATAATAAAAATAATAAAAATAATAATAATGATGATGCGACTATATCTGTAATACCATCAAACATCCACATCTGCCTATCCCAGGTCCTGGGTAAGGACTCGATAGACAAAATGCCAAATCCAGTCTGAACATCTGGCTGACTGTGCGATGATCCATCATCATCATCATCATCATCATCATCATCATCAAGTTGGAAGGGACCTTGGAGGTCATCTAGTCCAACCCCCTGCTCAGGCAGGAAACCCTATACCATTTCAGACAAATGGCTGTCCAGTCTCTTCTTAAAAGCTTCCAGTGTTGGAGCATTCACAGCTTCTGGAGGCAAGGAGTTCCACTGGTTAATTGTTCTCACTGTCAGGAAGTTTCTCCTTAGTTCTAGGTTGCTTCTCTCCTTGGTTAGTTTCTATCCGTTGCTTCTTGTCCTGCCTTCATGGGCTTTGGAGAATAAATTGACTCCCTCTTCTTTGGGGCAGCCCCTGAGATATTGATGATGATGATGATGATGATGATGGAAGGGATCTTGGAGGTCATCTAGTTCAACCCCCTGCTCAGGCAGGAAACCCTATACCATTTCAGACAAATGGCTGTCCAGTCTCTTCTTAAAAACTTCCAGTGTTGGAGCATTCACAGCTTCTGGAGGCAGGTTGTTCCACTGGTTAATTGTTCTCACTGTCAGGAAGTTTCTCCTTAGTTCTAGGTTGCTTCTCTCCTTGATTAGTTTCCATCTGTTGCTTCTTGTCCTCCCTTCAGGGGCTTTGGAGAATAGCTTGACTCCCTCTTCTTTGGGGCAGCCCCTGAGATAGTGGAACACTGCTATCATATCCCCCCCTCGTCCTTCTCTTCATTAAACTAGACATACCCAATTCCTGCAACCGTTCCTTATATGCTTTAGCCTCCAGTCTCCTAATCATCTTTATTGCTCTTCTCTGAACGTTGATCACGCCACGGTGGGGACGCCGCAACGGTGTGAAAAACGGGCCTAAGTTCCTTTTTTTCAGTACGGTTGTAATTTTGAACAGTCACTACATGAACGGTTGTAAGTCAAGGGCTACCTGTATTGAGGAAAGGACCTCTTTTGTAGAAGAGGCATCCCTGCAGAATTCCGGAGCGATAGAAATGCGTTGAAACTGACTTCCATGCAGCCACCTAATCAAAGCTCCATAAAGGTAGTCCTTGACTTACAACCGTTCGTTTAGTGACTGGATTTACGACAGCAGTGAAAAAAGGCGACTTACGGCCGTTTTTCACACTTACGACCGCTGCAGCATCCCTGTGGTCACGTGATCAAAATCCAGAGGCTTGTGACGGTTGCAGAGTTCTGGGATCACATGATCCCCTTTTGCGACTATCTAACAAGCATATGGGGAAGCCAGTTTCACTTTACAACTGCACCACTATCTTAACAAGTGCAGTGATTCGCTTAACAATTGTGGCAGGAAAGGTCATTAAATGGGGAAAAACTCATTTAACAACCGTCTGGCGTAGTGAATGGAAACTGTGATCTGAATGGTGGTCACAAGTTGAGGACTACCTGTATTAAGGTGGTCTCAATAGGATCTTCTCATGATCTCACATTGGACCTATAGGATTTTTTGGGATCTCAGTAGGTGGTATGGTGGTCCTTCATGGCATCGTTGCTAGTTCTGGTAGGACTTTTGAGTGTCACTTCATAAGACTTAAGTATATTTGTTGGTTCTACAAAGGATCTTTGATGCTTCTGATGGGACGTTTGGTGGTT